CGGGTGCAGGTATCTTTTTTATAGAGTGATTTGAGTTCTTCAGGATATATTCCCAGTAGGGGGATTGTGGGGTCAGATGGGAGGTTGATATTTAGAGCTTTTAGGAATCGCCACACTGCTTTCCACAGAGGTTGCACATTTGATTTCTAAAGGAGCATGAACTCTATTGTGAACTGCGCATATGAGAGATCTAGGTTGTGTGCTCCTTATGAGAATCCGATGTCTGATGATTCCCCCATCTCCCCCTGGTCCGTCTTTCACAGAACCAGTCCCTGATGCCAAAAAGGGTCGGGCACTGCTTCTCTACCATGTTAACAATCACAATCACAGGAAAGAAACTGAGTCATGCCTGGCAAGATAAGACTATTCAGTATCAAGGACTGGCAAACGGCAGAGGTCACTTCTCACTGAGGACCCGCTCAGACTCACTGTCCCTTACTTTGCCTCTTTTTTCACCTTCTCTCACCCTCACTTGTATCCAGGGTGGTGTGTCTGGAAGATGTGGAATCCCAGAGTGCATTTGGAAACCATAATTGTCTGACCCCGTGGTATTTCTCCTCTGTGTTTTGAATTTCCCCCAAACAGTAGTAAAGTGTCCCCTGCAAGGTTCACTGCTCACTGGAGATGACCTTCAAGCACCCAGGCGTGGAGGGGTCAGATCAGAACACTGCTCAGATTCATCCTCTCTCCCCTCCTTGCTCTTCAGGTCAAAAACCAAGTCCTCTCTGCTGTCTTGAGGAATGAATACCCTTCTTCGATTACTCCTCATTCTCCTGGTCTCATAGTAGATTTTAGCAAAGGCTTGGTAACAGGATTTTCCAAAGACTGTAGGAAGAATAATGACAGAGTAGAGATGTGGATGAAGCCAAGTTACCCCAAAAGGCAATCTGTGGGGTGTCGCTGGAGGGATCCATGGCAACCGAGATCCGCTTCTCGGAACACGGGAATATCAGCTGTCCCTGGCATCCTGGGGTTGGGTGACTTTTGGACAGGCTTCCACTGGGGAAGCAGAGGACTAAAAGTGAGGGGCAGAGCATGTAACACACACCACTGGCCCTGTGTCCACTTGGGGCACACCCACAAGTGGTGCTGTGTGACCCGGGGGGCTGCACCAAAGCACACCATTCACAGAACGGCTGTTTCACGCTCCACCAGCATAATTCTACCGAGAAAGTGATTTGGAAGCTTTCACGATCATATCTGGCAAGAAGACTGGAGAGATGTGTCCATCTGTGGACTCTGATTTAGAATATAGGACCTTGGTTCCGTTCCATTGACCTAATGTAGACCAATTTTCACATCATCACTCAATACACCACACACACACACACACACACACACACGCACCGAAACAAAAGTGCTATTTTAAAGATATTTTTCCTTCTTATTTAAAAAACCACATTCCTTACCATATAACGTACGCTGTGATATTTTCCATTCTGTTCCTTTCTCCGGTGCCAGTCATGACCTACTCGATCGATTTTATGACCCACTAATGGGCTGCAGTGTGAGATTTGAACATCTCTGCCCCGAGGCAAATCTTGCATGCTTGTTGAGAGAAACGTCTGTCCAGACTAGTGAGATTCATTCAAAGGGGATCATTTTATGGAAAAAATTACCGATATTCATGGACTGTTACTCTAAGATTCTGCTTTGTTTCTCCTATTGCCTCCACTCCCCAAGCAGGGGCTCTGTCCTCAGTGCCTAGGGTCTGTCTGCACACGAGCCCTGCGGGCACCTCAAACCCATGCAGAGCTGAGCACCCGCCCTCCTCATCGCTGACCCCTGCCTGACGCACGCCTCCTCCTCCCCTGGCCCTGTGTCAGCTAAGGGTGCCACTCTTCCGGGTCTTTCTCTCTCACCCTGCTCATCCACTCATCTCAAAGTCCTGTGGATTCTGCCTCCAAAATTGCTGCTGACTCTCGGACTCTATATCCTCTTTCCCATTAATAAAGCTAGCCGGGCTCGGTGGCTCAGCCTGTCATCCCGCGCCTTTGGGAGGCCGAGGTGAATGGATTGCCTGAGCCCGCGGGTTCGAGACCCACCTGGGCAACTTGG